CCAAGTCAGTAAGTGTAGAAATGTATATCATATACTTATTTTATTAAATTATTTAGGCAAAAGAAAGTCAAAGTCTTTTGTAGGCATAGAATAGCAACAAAGGCTGGCATTTCCTTGGTGGTTTCATTAACAGGTTGGATTTTAGACTGGGCTCTGACATGTCCGTGCATCCAGGTGATTTAAGAGTGACTCTGGAAACATCAGACCACTCAGATGTGCTGATTAATTTTGCGACCATAATACCAACCACAAACACAATTTCACCAAGCAAACTGAACCTTGTTCTACTTGTGATTTGAGTTCAAGCTGAAGCCTCCCTATGAACAGTGCTCTACACTTGGCCCTTTGAAGATAGCAATCCCAAGGACGCAGGGACTTGCAGATAAGAAGTGCTGACTACTGCAGCCAGCCAGCGATAGCTCTGGAGTCTGCAAAAGAGATTGCAACCTCTGCCCCATGGTAATCAAAGCTGTTCTTGGGAAGGTGCCCCTTCCAGGACACAGTGTACCCTGGATGATCGATGGATACCACTATCAGATTTCCGCTTCGAGTATTTCCTTTTTCCTCATTTAGTTCCGGGTGTGATGATCATTACGATAAAGTCTAAGCTCCCTGAATGTTTTGGTGTCTTTTTTGGTAAGCCTGTGTATTTTTGAAATAAATATTATTTAGCAAGCAACCAGTGCCAGAAAATATTCAACAACACAAAAATCCACTTCCTACTCTGGAGAGAGGAAGTCTTTCCCCATGGGCCGGGATTCTGAAGAACTCTGGAATGGAATAGCTGTGATGAAACTCCAGCCCAGTCTGCAGTCTGGATCTCTAGCCCTCTGTTCCGCTTTCCCTGAGTGGCCCATGACGAGGACAGTATGGGCCTGTGCATGAGTCTCGCTCCTGCATTGCTTTAGGAGGCGGTGGGCAGTCGTGTTAGCTGCAGTCTCAGTAGACAGAACATTACAGGATTCTGCTGTGTCCTCAACAAAACACCATGCAGTGAAATGGTGCTCCAGTGAGCCTGGATTGTGTGGAGCCTTTAAAAAGCCCATTTGCGTAGCCCGTCCTTCTGTTTCATTGACTGGGACTCTCTCTGTCTGGTCATGAAAGATGGCGGCATATAGAGTCCGCAGCCCATCGAGAATGAAGCAGCACCCTCCCAGTAGGAGGGTCTATCCACAACAAGGATATCCAGACGAGGGATGGTGCTGGAGGGAGATGCAGAACCATAAGTGACAGTGCAGGCCTCCCTGTTACCACCGTAAGAGGCCTGAAGGATGAGGGGAAGAAAGTGAACAAAACTTGAGAGAGAGTCATGGAAGAGTAGAGAGGGCCCGCCTCAGGGAAGCCGTGACTGACACTTGAGGACACAACCAATCTGAGTTTACCTGGCAGGGAGAGTGCCAGGAAAACAAGCACTCCAGCTCCTCCTCCTCCCGTGCTTTATCCAGGGTTCCTCATTGGCCAGGCCCAGTGGAAACCATGGCGTGCCATGGGGACATTAATGAGTTCCACCCGGGCCGGTCTTGAAGGGCTGACAGGCACTACCAGACCTGGAGGGGTGAGTGGAACCAGTACGAGCCAGAGTCTGAGCCTCGTACTCCACAGTGGAGGCAGCTGACTCCTTGGAGACTCAGCCACGCCCTCCATTTCCACTCTGTGGACAGTGCCTCAGTGGGAGGAGCTGAGGGTTGTGTGGTCGGGTCTCCCGTTTGCTGACGTGTCTCACTCTGTGGATGCCACAGGAATTCTTGTAGCAACCCTGCAAGGCCTGTGGCTATTGCGTTAATATTATCCCTTAGTTATCGCAGACTGATGAGGCCCATAATCTCCTAAATAGTGGACAGTGAAGGCTCAAATAAGAGACCAGGAGGATAAAAACCATCTAACAGAGCTCAAGGTTCTCTGGGGGCTAAGACAAAGAAATTCTCTGTGAGGCCTGTATTTATTTGGCTTTCAAACAAAGGGTGGGGGCATGCTGAAGAAAACACAGGAATCTTAGCAGGACCTTGAGAAATATTTTCCCAAGTAGTAAATTAGGTCAATCAGGAGAACTACCTTATCTTTAGGTTGACATTTATTGTGGGAGTGTGGAGCCTGCAGCTGCAGTCTCCTTTTAGTTAATTGGGGTTGGGGCCAGCATCCTCAGCTGCGGCCTTATCTTGTCCTTTGAGGCATCGTGGCTTCACGGGCCACTACAGCCCTCAGCCAGGACGAGTGATTCACAGAGCTTCACTGATCATGAATCCGCTGCCCATCTCCAGACCAAGGGCCTAGGCCTTGGACAGACTCACAAGTAAACATCAAAAGCCAACGGTTAATTTTAAGTCCTGCTCAGAGCCACTTCACAGTGGTCTGCATCACGTGGCCACATCTTCATTTGTTTGGTGGGCTGTTGAGAGGGAAGACAGGCTTGCCCAGGGCCAAGACCTGAGAGCAGAAGAACTGAGCTTCAATTCCAGGCCTGACCCCCTGCCTGTGTTCTGCACGTGCTACCCTAGAAGCAGCCACTCCCCGCAAAGAGAGGTCTCATCAGTGAGAAAAGTACTTTGCTGGTGTTGGAATCTCCGTCCAGCACTTTGAGTGGATTGGACATTGGGGTTCTGTGAGACCAGGGCAGTGTATTTTCCCCTTCTTAGAGCCAGGGCCAAAGTAGCATCTAAAATGCTGTTAAGTGGGCAAAAATGACAGCCGGTATGAGGCCTGGAGCCACGCTGAGCTGGAGAAGTGGAAACAGCAGCGTGAGGGGAACAGGAAGGGAAGCTCCCGGCCAGGGGTGAGTGACTGCGGGGCTGGGCCAAGCAAGAAGTGAGCCCCCTCCCCTACCCCCCGCAGGGCTGTGGTTTCATTTACACATAGTGAAAATAGCTGTGGCCAAGCTGAGAGGAAGGCCCTGGGTGGGGAACGGTGTAAGGGATGGAGGCAGGACCCAGGGCAGAGACTGCAGCAGTGTGCGACCCTGTGTTTGCTTTCTGCTCTAGGCCGCTGGTCTTTCTGTGCTCAGAGCCAGGGAAATGCTGCAGAGCGGGATAGCACAGCCTGCATGTGCTTCTCAAAGTGTGGTCCCTAGGCCTGCAGCACTGACCTCACCTTAGAATTCGTAGAAATGTAAATCATCAGAAACGGCCAAAATCAGTATTCTCCAATACCGGTGTTCTGCACTGGTTTCCAGTCGAGCTGCTTTCTGAATTGGCAGCTCCACTGTGATGTAGGACACATGGGTCGCTGTAGGGATTTAAGGATTATTTGCCAATTCTCCAATTCTCCAGTGTAGTGGTTTTCAAAGCGTGCTGCCCGGACCAGCAGCAGCCACACCAGGCACTTGTCAGCAGTGCAAAGTCAAACGTCCGCCGCTGACCTACGGAGTCAGCAGCACTGGGGCGGGGGCCAGCAATCCATGCTCGCAGCTCCCTGGTGACTCTGAGGCACACCCGACTTTGCGACCCAGGACCGTGGACCGCCAGTGCCTCATAGAGGCAGGGCTCCGGGAGCCCTGGCATTGTGAGCTCTAAGATGAGCTCGAGGCGGGCTGCAGGTGGCAGTGGATCCCCCATGGAAAGGTGCACAGAGGGGACTGGCAGTGATAAGCACAGGTGCAGAGTGTGGGTGCAGGAAACAGGTCAAGGAGGTGCAAAAACTAGAAACAAGGGCCACTGTTACCTTGTGTCAAAATTCAGGGGCGGGGGACAGAAGAGCAGTGTCTTCTACTTCTTCAGACATGGTGGCACTGCAGGGCGCTACTCAGATGCAGGTGGTGGAGTCCATCGGCCTTCGGTGTACCCATGCACTTGTATTTTCATCTTTTCTTCTTGCTCTTCTGATTCATTCCTCTAGCAAGAGCCCCTACTAGTGGGAGGCACTGTTGGCGAGGTTCAGACAGGAGAGGTTGGTGTGACAGCACATGATTCTTCCCCTTGAGGGTCAGCCTGAGATGGAGGCAAGAATGTGAATGAAGTACCCATTCTTCCTCTGTGATGTTCAAGGGAGAGTATTAGTGGCAAAGTTGAAGCTTGTACTTCCATGTTTATAGCAGCACAGCTCATAATAGCTGACTCCTGGAAGCAGCCTGTGTGTCCCTCAACAGACGAACAGGTAAAGAAGCTGTGGTATTTATATATAACAAAGCAGTCTGCTATAAAGAAGGATGCACCTTGACACCATGATGTTAAGTGAAATTAATAAGACCCACAAGCTTTAATAGCACATGGTTTCTCATGTGAGAAACCCAAAGTGTAGATAAAGAGCCAAGCCAAAGACAGATAATAGGAAACAGGGAGAGAGATCTTTTGCAAAAGGAAGGGGACCAAGAGGTGGAGGAATGGGAGGAGAAGGGGATGAAAAAGAATTAAGATGTGTGTGCGTGCACCAACTCCCCGTGACGAAGGTAATCATTAGGTACTGCAAACATGCACAAATAAAAATTTAAGAAAAGAGTAACACATGAGTTAGGAAGAGGCGTGGTAAAAATTGGGGGGCAGTGTGGCTGCAGTATTGCTGCCCAGTGTGTTAAGGACTTTTGTCGAGGCCAGGCGCATTCAGCGAGTGAACACTGGGATATCGCTGGGAGCGTGCTGGAAGGAAGGCAGCTGTGTATCCAGACAGGGTGGCCAAACCCTCCCTGTGTTACGCACCCACGAGCATTTTGTGTCTCAATTATTTAACCGCCCAGTGACCTGGGAGACAGTGAAGAACTCACTAAAATGTTTAAGTTTTATCCTGAGGCAGTCTTCGAGATGTGCTAAGGAGGAAATGGCCTGGGCATGATTTGCTGGGCACAGTTCTCGTTTCTGACTGACATGAGAGTTGCCTGGGGAACTTATTCCAGGAAACACAGACCCCAGGGCCCGAAGCAGATGAGCAGCGCGGGTCTTGGGCCCGGCTCTCAGAGAGGGCTGCAGCTGTGTCTGACAGCACCTCTCCTGCCACAAGTCAGGGGCCTGAGTTCAGATTCATGAAAAATGTTGTGATGACCTGACTCTAATATTCACGTCTTGCTTTTCTTTTAGGGATGTCCAAGTCACGGGTGAGTGTCTCTTCTCCTTCTGCACTTACCTCCATTTTGTAAAAGGCACGGTCTGTTCTGCTCTTGCGTGCTCGCAGCTGCACCTCGTCCACTTAGCGAACACATACTGTGTGTCTTGCCTCAGTGAGGGACTGATCCTGTCTATCCCTGTGGGATGGCCTCTCTTTAGGAAATTCTGTGTATTTCCTGCTCAGTCTAATGCTAAAACTAGTTGCTTTATTTCACTGCTGTCTCCACTCCAATGAGTACTATGAGGGAATAAAGATTTTAACTTGAGACTCTGCCTCTGGCGGGTCGCTGGGAAGCTGCTCAATGCGCCTGGCTGCTTTTCACACCACTGGCACTAGCTTGCGAGTGGGCTGGGGAGGAGCGGATCCCAGCCTCCTGTGTTTCTTTTTCTGCCAGACTTGCTTTGGTTACCCCCTGAGCATCTTCTTCATCGTGGTCAATGAGTTCTGTGAGAGGTTCTCCTACTATGGAATGAGAGGTAACTATTAGCCGCTTGTCCCTCTTGGGCGAAGGGCGCCGATGGCCGCAGCCTGTCCTAACTCTGCTCCCCTCCTCCTCCTCCTGCCCTCTGCCGGAAGCGCTGCTGGTTCTGTACTTCCGAAACTTCATTGGCTGGGACGACGACCTGTCCACGGCCATCTACCACACCTTCGTCGCCCTGTGCTACCTGACGCCGATCCTCGGGGCTCTTATTGCCGACTCGTGGCTGGGGAAGTTCAAGTGAGTGGCGGGGACTTTATTACCAAGTCAAAATTACCATTAATTTTTATTAAATTACCAAGTCAAAATGCAAATGTACGTTTTGAGGTCTGGGATGGTGGCATCGGGGAATGAAGAACTGAGGGACATAAACTCTTAGGAGAGCATTTGGGGTCTGTTTCTGTTCAGCGTCCTACCCCATAGGGCCTACCAGTGCCTGGCATCTGACAACATGAATGCAATTACATAACATCATATCTTGTCTCGAAGTACTGGCAGGGACCCTACTGTTCTTGATGTATGAAGCCAGGAAACAAAGCCTCTGCATATCCTGGTTGCCGAGAGCTGCTTAGGGGGAGGAAGGTAGAACCTCTTCCAGGCCCCAGGAATCACGACATCTGCAGGGCAAAGGTCTTCACTGTCTCCAAAGAAGCCTATAAAAATAACCAATGGTTGCTCCTGGCCAGCTATTGTTACCAGCTGCAGGACCGGTATCTCCCTGTTTAAATCTATGAACGCTAATATCTATACTTATTTTTTAAAAATTGAGTCTTTCAACAACTTGAAAGGTGAAGAGTCTTTCCGCTTCTCCTGATCCCCTGGCCAAAGTGTTGCTCCGTCCCTGTATGTCATGCCTTTCTGAGAGTTTCCAGTTTTACTCACACTTGGGAAACGAGTTCATTCACGATTGGGCTCTTGTAAGTTTTGAAGGACAAGGGATAGAAAGTGGACAGCTGTGGGAGTTAACCAAGATTCCTTTCACCCTTTCAAACACAGGACAATTATATGGCTCTCCATCGTCTACACCATCGGGCAAGGAGTCATCTCAATAAGCTCAATTAATGACCTCACAGACTACAACCACGATGGAACCCCCAACAGCATGGCCATGCACGTGTAAGTTGGTTCCCTGAGGTGTCTGTCTGACGCTGTGGTGTCTCGTCTTGTTCCTCTAGCGTCACAATAAGCAGAGGGAGGTGTGTCCTTGCTCAGCAGCAGTGTAGAGGAGGCTGTTTGGTGCCAGAGCTGGGTCTTCCACTGATGTGTGCTCAGTAGAGGGTACCTATGTCCTCCTTGGGTTTCTGTAGGGGCGGTAGCTCCTGTAGATCTTGGACCTTAACACCATGAAGTTTCCTCAAGACCCTGACACCTTTGGTATCTCCTCGGGTACCGCATATCTACTCATGTTCCAGGGACTGGGTGTCATAAACCTTTGGCCCAGCCATCTGTTTGGGGCTCTTGAAGGTGACAGGTACAGACAAGTGCTCCTCCGCTGGGTTCCTTTCCTTCCCCACTGCCTGGCCTCAGACCCTCGTTGTAAAGATTGATCTTGTCTCCTCTTCTTGTGCTTCACCTCCATGATCCCTAAGCAAGCCATGCCATGGGCTTGGGAATATGTTTGAAATTTGAGTCTGTACCCACAGTGCCCATGTCTTCTCTGGCCCACGAGTCGATTGGATGGCTGTCCAGACCAGGGCCCTGACACCTATCTTGATGCCAGAGGGAAGAGTGTTGGTGAAGGGAACAGTTGGTGAGGGGAACAGCGCTGAGCACAGTGGATGGCTCAGACATGAGTGTCTAAGCCTCAGGGACGACCTTGGGAAAATTGGCTGCTTAAGAACATGGACTTTGCTGACTGTAAAGACACATGTTTGTAATTGCAGCACTCTGGGAGGCTGAGGTGGGAGGATTGCAAGTTCAAGCCCAGCCTGAGTAATTTAGCGAGACCCTGTCTCAAAATCTAAATAAACAAACAAACTGACCATGACCTTGGAGATGGGTGATGTTCAAATTCTCACAGCACCTTCTAGCAGTCATGTGATCGTGGGCAAATCTTACTCCCTCTGCCTGTTTCTTTACTTGGAGTGGTCCCGCCTTAGTGGGGACTGCAGTGGGCAAATTCAGAACACCCGGAAGGCTCCCTGGTAATCAGTGGGCACTCAAGAAATACCGGCTGCCTATGCTTCCTTCCGTGGGGTTGGTGTGGGACCATGCCTGGAATTCTCAAACGTTCAGCCCACCAGGTTTCTGTTGACTTTAAGATGGTTGAGTGACCACTTCAGATACAAGGAGAAAGAGCTTAGGCCGGTAAAGGCAGGAAGATGGTTAGAAGGCATGATGCCTAAGGAGTCCTTTCTGTGCAATATCTGCCTTGAGTGTGTCTGTTTCATAGCTTCTTTTTAAATTTTTGATTTTTTTTTTTGGTACTGGCAGTTGAACCCAGGACCTTCTCACTGAGCTACATCCCCAGCTCTTGTGTTTTTTATTTGGAGACAGAGTCTCACTAAGTTGCCCAGGCTGGACTCAAATTTACAGTCCTCCTGCATCAGCCTCCCAGAGTGCTGGAATTACAGGCTTGTGCCAGGTTTAGTATTTTTAAACAAGATTAGCAATCAAAAATATACAGAACAGATATTTGTAAGGCCTGAGATTTATAATACTCAACTGTAAATTTACTAAAACTACAAAAGGATAGTTGATAAATGCTATGATTTTATTTTCAGTTCAGGATATAAAGCACAGATAACCTGAAAATACAAAAGTAAATTAAGATACATCACCATCAGTCCTATCATCTGGACATACTAGTAAATCTTTTGTTTCTTTTCAATCTTCTGGGCTGGGGATGTAGCTTAGTGGCATAAGCACTTGCCTGGCAAGCCTGAGGTTGTGAGTTCGATTCCTGGTACAAAAAAAAATCCAATCAATCTGTACTTTGTACACAAATTAAGAACATACTGCATAACCTGATATTCTACTCTGCAATGAAGTCATGTTTTCCATGGACATTTAATGACTGCAGGAGTCGATTTTGATTGCATATGACCAAGTTTACATTTGGTCACTAACTTTTCATGTGTGTGTGTATGTGTGCATGCACGCACGCATGTGTGTGAGACTGAACCTAGGCCTTGTGCATGCTAAGTGCGTACTCTACCACTGAGCTACAGCCCCATCTCCTGAATTATCAGTTCATTCACACATTCCGCTACTGAAATTGATATGGCTACAGAAGAATTCCAGTCTTTGTTCATATATCGAGCCATTGCTTTCAGATTTCTAGGTGATAAATTAGTAGACAAGGCTAGGCCCTCTAAGCCCCATGAGTTCAACTTCCCAGTAAGCTCTCAGGCTGCAGTCCTGTGATGATTTTCTCATCACATCTGCCTCCCTTCCCCATGTTATAGCTGTCCCTTGTCCTCTGAGGGACATCAGAGAAAGGCTCCTACGACTAAGGACCTACCTGCCACCTTGGCCCTAACCTGCTCCCTTCCCCAGGGCGCTGTCCATGATCGGCCTGGTCCTGATCGCTCTTGGCACGGGAGGAATCAAGCCCTGTGTGTCTGCGTTTGGTGGTGATCAGTTTGAGGAGGGCCAGGTAAGCACACTGCGCCGCAGGAAACACCTCCAGGAATCAGACTCCACAGACACTGAGTCTGTTCTCCATTCTGTTGGAGGGCGCTTGAAAGTGAGACCCTGACCAAAGCCAAGTCGGGTGTCAGTGTCACCTGCTTGGACGACAGGTAGCCCAGGTCACTGAACTCTAACTTTCTCCTTTCTGTCACAGGAAAAGCAAAGAAACAGATTTTTTTCCATCTTTTACTTGGCCATTAACGCTGGAAGTTTGCTCTCTACCATCATCACTCCCATCCTCAGAGGTAAGGAATATCTGAAAGGGACTCATGCTTTCTCTTTTTGAGTTGTAGAGAAGGTGGTCAGGTACAGAGGCCAAGTCACCGTCTTGTGGCTTTGGTTTGTCCCCGCCCTTAGAGTTCAGCTGTCCTGTGCTGGGGTGAACATCAACAGCCAGCATATGAGCTGCTTTGCTTCCAGCTTTTACCTCCCCTTCAGATCTTTCTTGAATCCCTGGTTCCATTCACCCCTGGGGAGTTTAAATCATCCCTAGCACAGACACCAGTCTCTCTAGTTTTTCATTAGCGCAGAATCCTTGTTCAGCGTGAGAAATAAGAATCGAGAAGGTTGTTTGGGAACAAGGCCTCGTGTGCTATGATCGACATTTCAGCCTTTAAGCTCTGCTCCCCACTGACAGTTGAGTGGCCAGAAGAGGTTAGTGGGCAAGGTTTTGTCCTTTGCTTTTCTCACATCTCCAGTATTTCTGAAGGAACTACCGAGAGCAAAGAATGAGACAGTAAATATAGACAACTGTCAATAACACTCAGATCTTTGAGCTGTTCACCTCCCCCCCATTGAGTGTTTGTGAATTTCTACCATATTTCCCTGAAAATAAGACTGGTTCTTATATTAATTTTTGCTCCAAAAGATGCAGTTGGGCTTATTTTCAAGGGATATCTTTTTTTTACATGTACAATAATCTCCATTTAGTCATGTACAAAAATGTACATTAATCCAATAGAGTCATTCATCTTCATCTCAAACATTGTCATAATTCTCCAGACCCCAAATTCTGGCCTGAATTTTTTGCAACTCTATTCCCTGTAGAACCATTGGCCCCAATCTCTCATGTCCAGCAGTAGAACTCTCCTTAAATGAGCACTTCTGGTCCATGTAGCCTGCTCACAGTGCATTGGCAACACGGCTGTCAGTGATGTTATCCCATGAGTTCTTCGCCCATGTCGTGCTGGCTGGGCTTCACAAAGTTTTTGTTAAATCAAGTGTTAATTGAAAACTGTTAAAAGACAGGAGTGGCAACAAAAATGATGACAGTTAAGAATGATGGTCCAGGGGCCTGGGGATTTAGCTCAGCGGCACAGTGCCTGCCTGGCAAGCACAAGGTCGTGAGTTTGATTCCCGGTACTGGAAAAAAACAAAAACAAAAACAAAAAAAAGAATGATGGTCCAGCAAGGCATGGTGGTGCATGCCTGTAATCCCAGCACTCAGGAGGCTGAGGCAGGATCACTGCAAGTTTGAGGCCAGCCTGCACTACAAGGTGAGTTCAAGACCAGCCTAAACTACATAGTGAAACCCTGTCTCAAAATGACCAAAGAAAAGATGGTCCACACAAAGAAACAAAAAATTGTAGCACCTAAATTCAGAAAACATATCTTCACTTTACACAAGCACATAAAGTACATCTATTACAACAGACGACATACTGAATTATGAGGATTCATATTAGACACAACTACATCTGTTCATAATCAAGGGCACGCATCATTTGTGTGGTGTGTCGATGTTCGGACTGGTCATTCAGCAGTACATTTCAAATTCCTCTGTTTATACAGGCGTGTACCTCTCATCCAAGGTGCCTACTTGAGTATTTACAAATACTATACTTAATTATAATTTAGAGTATCATTTAAGTATCAATGTTGATAATATTTACATTAAATTATATATTAATACTACTTTATAATTCAACACATCTGTCCTATGTTGCAGCCGACATACTGAATGTGTCTGTCTGGCTGACGATCATAATTGAGGCTTATTATGGAGGAAGGGCTTATACTGCAGGCATCCTGGAAAGTCATGCCAGGGCTTATTTTCTGGTTAGATCTTATTTTCAGAGAAATACAGTGTAAGGAAGGGAATGCCTGGCATTTTTGTAATAACTTAACAAAAGCATGGTATCCACACTGGGATCAAGTGAAATCATGCAATAAAATATTTTATAGGAATTCATACATTTCTACAAAGACTAGTAGCTTGAAAATGACAAACGCTTAACTCCCACTCCAACTAACTAATTCATGAGAACTAGAAAGTTGTTACAATCAGTTCAGATAAGGATTTTTCCAACAGAGATCTTAATGCTTTATAGGAGGAACTATTTTTAGGAATCATTTGCCTATCTGTCAACAGGAAACCTTTGCATGACTACCGTTTTCCCACTGGTTACCTTCTGCCTCTACAGAAATGTGAAATAGCCATCAAAGACAAGACAAAATCCCTGTAGGATCGGATCGTTCCTGGAGGCTCCAGCATCCTACTGAAAGGGTTTCCAGTAATCTCTGTTGCCCTCACAAAGCCTTATGGTTTTCCTACTAGTGCTAGGATTTCAAAGCTAAAATAACCCTTGGAGGTTGCCAAACTATGGCCATACAGGCCAAATCCAGAAAACTGAGCAAGACCATTGATCTAGTTATTGTTTCTGGCTGCTCCCCCTACAAAGGCAGAATTGAGCGTTTATTATTGAGACCAAATTGGCCCCAAAGCCTAAAATGTTTTATGTCTGACCTTTCATAGAGAAGAGTTGTCAACCTCTGCCCAAACTCCTAATTATTACGTGATTATCATGGATACCGGAATGTGGATATTGATCTTCCAGCACACTTTTGCTTTTATTTACTGAGCTCCATATAGGTACTCAGATTGTTGCATCTCGGTTATGTTTATCTCCTCCATTTAGGAAATCCACAGAACAGGGCCTACCTGCACGGCTATGTAGAAGTTAAGATTAGAACTGGTCTCCGTCTCCTGCTCTTTCTACCATAATGCTGTTTTGCTCAGTGGGCAGTGACATCAGTTAGACAAATTGAGAGGTGATGAACATTAAGGAAAACAACATGTAATTACCAGGGCATTACCAATACCATAGTGAACATGAATCTTGTCATTTCTCCCTAGTTCAACAATGCGGAATTCACAGTCAACAAGCTTGTTACCCACTGGCATTTGGGGTTCCTGCTGCTCTCATGGCTGTATCCCTAAGTAAGTAGAAATTGCTTGGATTAATACAAGGCTGTGACCAGGTCAGATCCTACATTAACTATGTTGACTAAGTTTTTAAAGTCTACATAACAAGTTGTAACAAAACAATAGAGTGAAGAATTGGGTATTAACCATGCTGTCTCCCAGAGAGAAGAAAGTAAGGACTTACAAGAAAAGGAATGAGCTGAGTTGGACATTTAAAGGTCAGGTACTGTACAATTTTAGGCAGATGAAGGTGCAGGTGGTAGAATCTACTTGGCCAGCTGAACCTGTGGCTGGAAGCTTTTGTTCTTAGCAACATTTCTTCCCTAGATCTTATTTTTAATAATGGCAACCTGGCTCAGCTGCCACTGAAATACTCCCAGTGCATATTAAGTTTCCACAATCGGTCATCCCCAAATGACGCTACTAGAATTCCTTCCCTCTGGAAGGTGCACAGGTGCATGTTAGACACATTCATTTGCACGTTCTTGGTGTAGGCCTTCGAGGAAAGGTGAAGGTTCCTACATGAGGCAGTTTGGCTTGGACGATGGCAGCACAAGGACCCAGCCTGGCGGCCCCCTCATGTCTTCGCAGCCTCTTCTCCCACTGGTGACAGAGCTGTCACTCGGGCATTACTCTCCCCAGTTCTTGTTTTCAGGTCTTACTAGGACCAGACAGGCCCAGTTTTGTCTCTTGCTCGTGTTGTAGCAGTTTTGCTTTGTTCTCACATTCATGGGAGAGCACAGCATTCTCCCCTTTTCAGTATGTCCCTTTCCTTCCATATTTCTTCAGATACTGCCACACTCAGCTAAAAGGCTCGTGTGGTTCTTCTCTTTAATTCTGGATGGTAGACAGCATTTTAAAAGGTCTTGTTTATACCAGACACTGTAGTGTGCACTTTCGGTAAATTCTCATTTAGTCTGCGTGTCATTCTCAAAATTCTTTTTATGGGAGAATTGAGAACAGACAAAATCCTATACATCAACACCACCTCTAGGAATTCCTAAGTATGAATTAGGCTTCAGTTTATCAAAAGCTGAAAGACTGCCCAGGCCTGGTGGCACACACCTGTTATCCCAGCTACTTGGGAGCTGCAGCAGGAAGACTGCAAGTTCAAGGAACTCAAAAACCTAGTGAGACCATGGCTCAAAATAATATTTTAAAAAAACTTTTTTTGGTACCAGGAATCAAACTCAGGACCTTGCACTTACCAGGCAGACACTTGTGCTGCTGAGCTATATCCCCAGCCCCTAAAAAATTTTTAAAGGACTGACGGTGTAGCTCAGTGGTAGAGCACTTGCCTTGCATGGTGCAGTCCCTGGATTCAATCCCCAGTACTGCAAAAAGAATGTGTAAAAATTAAAATATTAGTTGGCAAAAGAAAATGTGGACTTAGTGTGTTCGCCTTCTTCACCACGAATGTGCGTTTCTGCCTTGAGGACAGCTTGCATCAGGCAAGAATAAATGAATGTCTCCTTTGTCGGCCACATATATACTGAGGACTGAACTCAGAGCGTCACACTGAGCTACATCTCCAGCCCTTTTTATCATGTATTTTCAGACAGGTTCTCACAAGTCACTAAGTTGCCCAGGATGGGCTTGGACGCTTGATCATCCTGCCTCAGCTTCCCAGAGTGCTGGGATTACAGGTGTGCCTTCAGAATGAAGGAAACAAAGTAGAAATGAAGTGATCCTTTCTTGTTTTGTGACTTTTGAATTGTGGGATTAGAAATCAGAAATCCTATTATAGGGACTGTGTTTCCAGAGTCCCTTGCCAAATGCTTTTTTTCTAATCAAGTCTCACAATATGCCTTGTGCTGACAAGGTCCCTGGAAGAGCAGCTTCATTCCAAAGGTGCTTCCGATTTTTGTAAATTGAGCTACAGGTGCAGTTAATTCTGTACGGTGACCACAGGGAAAATTCTACCACCTGTGAATAAGTAAAATTTCAACAGATTAAGTCCTTTTTGCTTGAATATTAAGAAGAAAAATGATAAGAAGAGTACTTCTGCCACTGTAGCCAGAAAATTAGTGGTGTGCTTACCGTCTATAAAAAAATGTGTGAGTCCTGTATGTGTAAGCATCTACTCCTTTTACCTCCTTTTAAGTAGAACTTGTGCTTAAATTGCTGTATTGTACGCATTCCAGGAAACTGATAGACAGTGGTAGGCTTTAGTGCTTATATGGTCGAGCACAGATATAACATTACTCAGAGAGTGTGTGACTATTAGGCTCAAAAGCACATTCTCAAGCAGAGCGTGGTGGCAGACACCTGTAATCCCAACTCTTGGAGGCTGAGGCAGGAGGATCCCCACAAGTTTAAGACTGGTTTGGGCTACATAGTGAGTTCAACTCTAGCCTGAACTACACAGTGAGATCCATCTCAAAAAAATAAAAAACAAACAACAAAAAAAAAAACCAAAAACCATTCCCAACTGTGAGGTAGACAGGTAAACCGATTCTATAAGTAATCCAGTTATTTCTAAACACGCTTATAACTCAAATAAAAGCTCATCTCTCAGGCCGCAGGTAGCTCTGGCAAGTGCCACATGAACACATCTTCTTTCGCCCCGTGCAGTTGTATTTGTCATCGGCAGTGGAATGTACAAGAAGTTCAAGCCGCAGGGCAACATCATGAGTAAAGTGGCCAAGTGCATCGGTGTAAGTATCTCAGTAACCCTCTCTGGAGGAGTTGAGTCACCCCGCAACCTTGTACCTCCTTTCAAGTAAATTCAATCACACCTTTACTTTCCCTCTTTAGCGTTCTTAACTATTTTGATCAGTTTTAATTACAAACTTCATATAAAACTCCCAAAATGAGCACACAAACAGAACTCATGAAGGGAAGAGTAGGCTGGCTTTTGAGCTGAAGTAAGGTCGGTGGTCAGAGTGACTCTTCCTCTGTCACATTGGCAGCCAATGCCTGACGTTTCTCAGAGAAGCCAAAATGGGACCCTCCGTTCGGCAGTGTATCAAGAGTACTGAAGCCCTGAGGGTCAGGGATGCGATGTGAAGGAAACAGGCTAAGAAAATAATTTTTTAATGTGAACGTAGATTCACATGCAAAGAATATCATTGCGCTAGCTGCAGTGGAACACACCAGTAACCCCAGATCCTCAGATGCTGAGGCAAGAGGATCACGAATTTGAATCCTGCCATGCCAATTTAGCAAAACCTGTGTCAAAGGTAAAAAGGGCTCTGATCTATATCCTGTCACCCATCCCCAGCCCCTGGTGGCCTGACTTCCACTTCCTGGGGACCCCAGTTCCTTGTAAAATGTTTCTTCTGTGGATTTAATAACAAATTCCCCAGTTCAAAATAAAATTAAATAAATAGGACTGGGTATGTAGCTCAGTAAAAGTCCCAGGGCTTAATTCCCAGTACTACAAAAAAATAAGAATACCATTACAATATTTTTATTAGCAAGAATTTAAGTCCACTCAATTGCTGAAAATAGGAAAGTGGTAATAATAAGAACATGCAGAATTTTGTTTCTTCCATCTACATCTAATGAGATATGTACATGCAGGGGCATTTATAGGCGAGAAATAAATGTTAAAAGTAGGAATCTTTAGACAACAAAATCAGTTTTTCCCTTTCCATACTTTTTTAGTGAACATATATATTGTAGGACCGTATGGCCAGCATGCTACAGTCAGTCCACAGCTTTGAGTTACTGCCTTTCAATCAGGCACATGTCCCCCGCTGCCACCACCTTCACTTCCTCTCGCTGCTATGTCACTGTAAATGCACTCTGCATTTCCTGACGATCTCTCGTGAGCACACCAACAAGGAATCTCAGCAGCCTCTCATTTTGTGACAGGTACGCTTGTCTGATCACTCCTACCCTCAACTGAAATATGTGCTCAACTCATTGGTTATTTTATCGACCAGATTATAAGAAGTCAACATAATATTTTTTTAAAATATTTGTTCCACTCTTCTGTCCCTCTTTCTCTCTCTCTCTCTCTCTCTCTCTCTCTCTCTCTCTCTCTCTGTCTGTCTCTCTCTGTCTCTCTCTCTTCCTCTTTTTCTCGGGATGAAATCCAACCCAGGGCCTCACACATATATGCTAGACAAGTGCTTTACTCTTATTTTCTTTAAAATGTATTTCTGAATGGGTTTTCAGTCTTAAATTTTTTTTGAATAATGCTCAGTACAGTTACTAGAAAGTTTTAAAATATGTTTGGAACAACATTAGTTTGTAAATCCAGTTTTTCAAATATAAACTTTATGAAATTAAAGACAGATCGTATATTTCTGATAAAAAAAAAAAAGTTAGCAACCAAACTGAGATATGTCATAAGTGGATATATCTCCCTGAATTTTGAAAATTTGTAAGAAAATAAAGAGTCTCATTATTTAATAGATTATAAATGAAAATAATATTTGGAGTTTACTGAGTTAAATAAGATATATTTAAAATAAATTTTACTTGCTTTCCTTTCGTTTGTTATTTTTGCTACTAGAAAATTTAAATTGGAAATGTTTCTTGCATTATGTGTCTACTGGACACGCGTCTCTAAAGGGTCTGGAGGGTGAGTGTGACACTGTGACTCTGTTTACCCCGACTGAGACATCTCAGTTAGAAGGAACTAGAGACGAGTGTATAGCTGTGCCTTTTAACGTGCTCACTATACCAAATATGCAATTTTATATTTTGCTTTTTGCACTTATTTTTCCATTAAAGGGTATGTAATTGCAATTTGTTTTCCTGATGAAGTTGTTGAAATTCTGTTTTTGAAGTTTTATTTCTTTTCTTTCTTTCAGTTTGCCATCAAAAACAGGTTCAGGCATCGGAGTAAGGAATTTCCCATGAGGAAGCACTGGCTGGACTGGGCTAGAGAGAAATACGATGTACGTAACCGTTCTTCCCACAGTGCTCCCAGGCCTTCCAGAGAGCGACTTCCGAAGTCCCAGCAGAGTGTGTTAAGTCTACAGGGACAGGGGCTGGGGATTTAGCTCAGCGGCAAAAGCGCCTGCCTGGCAAGTGCAAGGTCATGAGTTTGGTTCCTGGTACAGGAGAAAAACCAAAACAAACAAACAAACAAACAAACAAAAAACAAGTCTACAGGGACAGTCAATGAGACCCTCCTCACTCTGTTAGCAAAGTAAATAAGACTATGCAGGAGTTTTGGTTTTTCCATTTTTATTTTTAAAACATGTTTGCAGTACATAATGATTATGTTCCTCACGGGAACACGGTATATGTACCTAACATTTTCCTTTTTGAAGTTGAGAACTTGATAAACAATGGATATGATTCATCAGAAAACACTATGACCTTTTCTTAGTTTTTCACTTTGTATAACTGCCATTAATTATATGTAATTATGATTTTTTTGTTGTTGTTGTTTTTGTTTTTCTCCGGTACCGGGAGCCGAACTCACGACCTTGCGCTTGCCAGGCAGGCGCTTTTGCCGCTGAGCTAAATCCCCAGCCCCTTGTAATTATGATTAACGTAACTTTATTTGACTATAGGAGAGGTAAGGGGTGCTGATGGGATTTATAGTTAGTAGAATTCACCAAATGTTTTCACTCATATCTTCAGTAGTGGTGCTCTTTGGGACAATAACTCACCTCCCAGCTAGTCTCTAGACACAAATGTCTGACACTGAAATGAACAGTGCCTGGGCGCCGTGAGCGACACAGCCCTTGCTTCATTTCTCCTCCCTCCAGGAGCGGCTTATCTGTCAAGTCAAGATGGTTATGCGGGTGATGTTCCTGTATATTCCACTCCCCATGTTCTGGGCCTTGTTTGACCAGCAGGTAATGTTTCTGTGTTTAGCAGACATACTCTGGGTCCTGCCGTGTACAGAGCCATACTTCGTGGTTAGCTCCTAAAAATGTTCCCTCCAGTTCCTCTTTTGGACTTCACTTATTTAATTGTTATATCACACTGAGTTTATCTATAGAAAAAAAAGGAATTCTTGAAGCTTCTGTTCACTGTTGCAAACAGCGAGGCAAATGAGGCAAACATGGTCAATAAGGCAGCCTTGTGCGAGATTTTGTCAGGGCACCCAGGACTCCTGCCAGTCAAAATTGTTTCCTACCAAGCCAGCACTGGAAAGATGTCCTGGCTTTGCTGGGATCCTCAGTGCTGAAACCAAGAGGTCTTGATGTCTTCCTCTCTAAAGTGGAATGCTTGGGCTAGAAGTACCGTCAGGGATGGGAAGCACCGCACAGAAGTGGTCCCCCCAAGTGGGGACCCAGCCCAGGAGGGTGACGTCGCTCTGCTCTTCCTACCCCAGCTGTAAGGCACACACTGGAATCTGTGTGTGTGTGTCTTGTTGAGACAGGGTCTCGCAATGTGGCTCAGGCTGGCCTTGAGCTCACTTTGTAGCCCAGGCTGGTCTCGAACTTGCAACGATCCTCCTGCCTCAGCCTCCCGAGTGCTGGGATTACAGGTGTGCACCACCACACCTGGTTGTACTTTTTTTTTTTTTGACACATTGGAATCTTGCACAATAGTGCCAGGCAACTCAATGCACAGTGCTCAGGAGTTGAAGAAAACAGGATAGTTTCTTTTAGAAACTAAAGTTAAAAAAAAAAAACCTATGAGCACATGTGTTTTTATGGTACAGGAAGGCTACCGTAAGTGTAAATCATCCCTTGGGGAAAGACTGAGCGTATACATTAATCTCCTTGCTTGTAAGCATGAGATGCGGGCCAGCCTCTAAAGGGCAGGGAAGCAGCCCTGTATGTCAGATAGGAGCCCGCTGGAATCACACGCATGCTGGAGTGAAATACTCCTAGCCTACTGCTGGGTGACTCTGGGTAAGCACTCCTAGCCCTTCTGCAAAGGCCGTGGTAACCCAGCTCACAGTGTGAGGCTCAGACTGCAGCTGTGTAAGCTCAGGGACCCGTACATGTGAAGAACACAAAGCAGAGCGCTTCTTGCTATGAAGCCCTCCTGGTGGAGGCGATGGGTTCACAGGAAAGCGTTTCTGAGTTTAGTCTTCCATGGAAATCACTATTAGCGGAGTGTTACCACCACTTCTACCCACACACTCAGGTCTCTTTGCTCTGCTGAGCAAATCAAAGCAAGCATTTATTTTAATGGAAAGAAAAGGCTTTATTCAGGGCCGGCTCCAAGGAGAGGGTGGGGCCTCCTGGGCCTCCATCACCATCTGGCTGTGTCCAGATGTGCAAGGGTCGTTAGTACCTGGGAGCAGAGGCGAGGAACACAAGCAGACAGTACACATCTGTGTACTAGAGAGCACATCTGTGCTCTCTCCGCCGGCCGTTGCGGCCCTGCCTGCCTTCCTCGTGGGAAGGAAGGGCTCTGGCCTCCTGGGGCCGGTGTCTGCATGGTCTGTCCCTTCCGGGGCGAGGACGGGAGGGGTTGGTTATGCACTCAGCAGGAGGACGTTTTCAGGAGCCGCTTATCTATAAAGGAGAAGTGTTTATCTCTACAAGGAAAAATCTACCTTCTAAGAGATCGTTTTACCATGCTGGTTATGGGATCACTGCCAGCTGTAGGACAGGTTAACTGTAACTGGGCTGCCCAGATTTCAGTTCAGCCTGCCTTGAGGAGATCCGCTTTGGGCTGTCTAGACAGTCGTCGTGGCCCTCAGCAAGCAGGGTGCTCTGGGAACTGTGATGCTCGTGAGCGCAGCCTTTGCAGAGCGTTTGGAGCTGTTCTCACTGTGGGCGTGGCAGCAGGTTTCCGCCGCGCTCTGGGGAGCCTGCCTAGCTCTCGGGCAGCTTCACCTGCACCAGGGCTGCAGTTCTGCGCAGGGAGCAGCCGGCGTCGCAGAAATGCAGCTTCGGACTTTCTGCCTGAGTTCTCGTGGAGCCTGGAAACCAACCTGATGGTTAAGACTTTAAACCCCACAACGTTTCACACCTCCTTGCCGAGTTTGAAAAGACTGAGGAACTTTTAAAAAGCCTGTTGCCAACTGATGCAAAAACGTGTTTATTTTTAAGGGCTCTAGGTGGACACTGCAAGCAACAACCATGAACGGGAAAATTGTAAGTTTGGGGTCTCGTGTTTTACCTTCCCTGGTCCCTGCTCCTTTGTTTTGGTCCCTTTGTCCTCTTTCTCCTTCCCTGCATGGCATTTCTCAGTGAGATTTCCCCCTCTCCTTTGCAGGGAGCTATTGAAATCCAGCCGGATCAGATGCAGGTAGGCGGAAACTGCCGTTTCATCTGGAGCCCGGAGTGGTCCTTGTGACGGCGCTAACATCCTCTCTGCTTCCCCTGCAGACTGTGAACGCCATCCTGATTGTTATCATGGTCCCTATCTTCGAAGCTGTGATCTATCCGCTGATTGCCAAATGCGGTTTAAATTTCACGTAGGTTCCTGGTTGGTTGGGGCTGGTACCCACGCCACTGGCCCAAGGCTTTGCCGAGGAACCACACCCCTCTGCCTCTGGCATGGCCGCTTTCCCCCAGTTGGTGGGGTTTTTAAAGAAATGAATTATGGGGCTGGGGATTTAGTTCAGTGGTGCAGTGCCTGCCTGGCAAGCGTGAGGTCCTGAGTTCAATTCTTGGCACCAGAAAAGAAATGAATTATGATGTTTTTATGTTGATGTTTCTGAAAATGTCTTTTAAAATAAAAGTTCTAGGCAGGCATGGTGATGCACACCTCTAATCTCAGCACTGTGGGAGGCCGAGGCAGGAGGATAGCAAGTTTGAGCCCAGCCTGGGCAACTTAGAAGTTTAGTGAGACCTTGTCTCAAAAGATGGTGAGAGATACCTAGGGAGGCCCTGGGTTCAATCCCTAGTACTGCAAAAACTAAAATAAAATGAATGAAAAGATTTTTAAAAGCAATAAAAATCCTCTGAGTTGTGCCTGAAAAAGCCTTTAATTAAGAATGTCTTCTGTAAATATGGTCACCGTAGACAATGAATGTTTACATTTTTTAAATGTTTATTATAGTAAAAGACCCCTGGCTGCTAATCACCCCTCAAAACACTCCCCCTCACTCTGAGCACACTCATGCCATTGTTCTTGCCACTTTCTGAACCAGCTTTAGAAGACTCTTTTGGGTGTCTCAGAGATATGATAAAAAAAATTCAGTGACTGCCACTGCTGAGTGCCATCCAGTGGAAAGACAGGCTCATAAAAGCATGCCAGTGTGCCCTCATCATACCTGAGTCACCGGAGCTGGCACTCCGTGGTCTGTGGCTCTTCCCCAAAGTCAAAGAGACCAGGAAAGGTAAGCATTTCAAATCAAGTCATCAAGGCCGCCGTGACAACACAAGACACTCAGGAAAGAAGCCTTCCAGAACTGCTTCAGAAAGTAACAAGAAGGAAGGGATAAGTGTGTTCAAAGCGAGGGGGAGGATTTTTGGGGGGGGGGGCATTAATGGTAATGTCTTTTACTGCAAGAAATATTTCTATTAAAAAAATTTAAGCATTCACCATATTTTTTAATCATACCATGTAAATGATAGAAATGTGAGCTGCAATCCTGAGCATTACCTCAACTATCATTTCTAGAAAGGAAACATAAAAATGCAGATGAGAAGCTGTATTCTATCTGCTCACCTTAACGCTGGTCACAAATACTGGAGTAAGAGTTATTTCCCGGTGCCTGCATCTTTGTGGGGAAGTTGGTTGTGCTGTAGGGAACGGGGGAGGGCGTCCTTTGAAGCTTACCCTTAGCATCGCTGCAAGAGGCTGGCTGAGTTCCCTTTCTTCTGGTATCCACCAGCTCCCTGAAGAAGATGACAGTTGGAATGTTCCTGGCTTCCATGGCCTTTGTGGTGGCTGCAGTTGTGCAGGTGGAAATTGATGTGAGTCTTCCCTCGAGCCTCCAAACCCCTTTCCTACTGACTTTAGGGGAGCACACAGCATCTCTCTCCGGAACAAGAGAACTTGGGGACACCAGGGTCTCCCATACACAATTCTAGGCCGTGGAGCTACGGAACGGTGTGAGGCAAGGGTCAGAATAGTCCCTCTCCCTCGGGGAACACTGGGTTCTCACACTGCGAAGGCACAGCTGGGGAAGGGTTGAGTGGTGTGCTCTGCTAAAAGAAGAAACTTATGGTCCTTTTGTCCTGTAAACTTGTAGGAGATCTGGTTAGGCTCATCGTTCACAAACAAGCAACACTTCCAAGTATGCACATAGTCTTTTTGATGGAAATACACATTTCTGGATGCTAACGTCTCTAATAATGGTTTGTTCCTAAACTAACCCACGTTCGGCCCACAGTAATCTAACATTATTAGCGTGAGATTAGGCCTTAGTCCTAGAAGTAGGTGTGTGGTATGTGAAACATGAGGTGAGAGGGCCTCTCTCTCCCTCTCTCTCTCTGTCTCTCTGTTTCCAACCTTCTCTTTCAAGTTCTTTAAAATTAGAAAGGAAATTTAATGTTAAACTATGGTAAATATAACATGAAGTATAGTGTCTCGCCCATTTTTAAGTGGCATTACATGCATTCATATTGCTGTGTGCCCCTCACCAACACCCTTTTTCATCTTCCCAAACTAAACCTCTGTACTCGTTGAATAACTCTCCCTCCCTTCATCCCCCCGGACTCTGGCATCCACCATTCTGCTTTCTGTATGTATGGATCTGATCGCTCTGGGCACTGCAGATAGGCAGGATCATGGAGTGTTTGTCCTTTCATACTTGGCTCAGTGTCCTCCAGGTTCACCCACACTGTGGCATGTAGCAGGATCCCCTTCCTTTTTAAAGGCTGAATAATAGTCCACGTTGTGGACATGTCTCATTTTCTTTATATCCTCATCGGTGCACTTGGATTCGTTCCACCTCTTAGCTACTGGGCACAGCCTGCTCTGAGCATAGGTGTGCTCACGCTCTTGCTGATGGCTGGCTCTATGGGAAATGAATTGTGGGCTAAAGTGGAAATGGATTGCTTTGGTGGCACTAGATTTGAGAGAGACCATTGTAGAAAAGAAACAGACAGACAGACAGATAGACAGACAGACAAGAGGTCCTAAGACCAGGCCTGGAGGGCCAAGGCTGAAAGCATTTGTGAGAATGGTCAGCACATCCTCCATTCGGGGCTGAGGATGGGGCTCAGAGGACAGGGAGGGTGCAGGTGTCAGATTCACACGTCCTGCCAGGTGAGGGGCTCATTCAGGCTGTGGCTACTCCAACCCTTCGGACACAGGCTTCACGCCCGGGCCCTCTGAGCAGGAGGTGCCGGGTAAGGCCGCCAGCAGCCTCTTTCCGATGCCTTCCACAATCCAAATCAACGAGCACCCTTTTCTCTGCTTGCCATGAGGTGAGGTGAGGGACCCACAGGCATGGCAGGGGGTGTGCTTGTCCCTGCCAGTGCAGCTTTGGACGGCCAGGGAGAACAGGGTGTCAAAACTGAAAGCAAAATGACCTTCTGCACCGCATGAAAAGAACTCACTGTCAATTTTTTCTTGTTTTGCACAGAAAACTCTTCCAGTCTTCCCCAAAGCACACCAGGTCCAAATTAAAGTACTGAATGTCGGAAATGATAACATCGCTGTTTCTTTTCCGGGAGAGACGGTGACCGTCGGCCAGATGTCTCAAGTAAGCACAGGGAAATGCAACTTTCTTTGCCATCTTCTGTCCCAAGTTATGATAGGATTTGGAGGAGGAGTTTTTCTCAGTCCTTGTATAAATCTGCCCAGAAGCACAGTGCCTTACTCTCTTGATCTCTCGCTGGCTGTGCTCTAGATCACTGTGCTCCTGACCTGAGTCTGTGTATGGACCACCTCTCAGCTTGTGAGCGTGCAGGTTCAGTTTTGTTTGGTTTGGTTTGCTTGGTTTTGGTTTTTAGAGATGAGGTTTCACTGTGTAGTTCAGGCTGGCCTTGAACTCACCATGTAGCAGGCAGGCCTCAAATTTGAGGTGATCCTCCTGCTTCAGCCTCCTGAGTGCTAGAATTATAGGCATGCACCACCAGGATGCAGATTCTTTACCAGCAGATCAGAAATGCACTTCCACGGGCTCCCATCTGCTGCTACTGTCAAAAACTATGCTTCAAGCAGCAGAGAAGGGCAGTGGTTCAAACCTGGATGATTGTATTCCTTGGGGAACATCTGGCACTCTCTGGAGGTATCTTTGGTCACTGAGACTAGAAGTATGCTAATGGCTCCTTATATGTAGAAGCAAAGATGCTGACTTTCAGCTTTCAATGACAAAGAATTTCCTGGCCTCATGTCAACAGCACCAAGGTTAGGAAACCTCGCTCTGGATAGTTGTGCTGTCCCAACTTTGAGTTCGTATTGGGATCCCCAGGAAGCTTTGAACGTCCTGGGAGCTGGGTCCTGACCCTGGCGATGATGGTGTAACTACTCTCATTCCTATCAGCTGTGCATGGCACCATTGCCTTTGACCTTGCCAAGCTAGCAACGTAGAATGTACACATGGTGAATAAGCGCATAAAAGATAGGGAACATCATTGGTCATCACCTGTTGGGCAGCTAGAATCACTTTTTATTCTTGTCGTTTTTTGAGACAATGTCTTTTTATGTAGTTCAGGCTGGTCCTGAACTCACTGTGTGAGTCTAGTAAGACTTAAACATGACTGATTCTTGATGCATGGGGCAGCCCAGTACTGACTCCACTGGCGCTGTTGCTCTTCCTCTGCTGCTGTTCTTTGCCCAGTGCCTGAGATAATTTCCGTGGCATTTATTTTCATGAAACAAAACAAAATAAGATGCTTGATGCAAAGTAGAATTCCTGTGGTCATGCTAAAAAGCTTCATGACAGAATCCGTGAGGCTGAAGCAGCACATGCCAGCTCTCCACAAGGCATTTCTTATGGGTAAGAACAGGAGCTTGGAAAGTTGAATGCCGAGAAATGTGCCACTGCAGTGCTGATTGTGCAAAACAAGACTCTGGCATTCACTGCGATCCCTTTCCACCCATTGACAGACAGATACATATATGACTTTTGATATAGACCAACTGACAAGCATCAACATGTCTTCCCCCGGATCACCAGTCACTGCAGTAGCCCACAACTTTGAGCAGGGCCATCGCCACACCCTCCTGGTGTGGGCCCTTGGTAACTACCACGTGGTGAGTAGCTGACATCTACCACTGACTGCAATGTGTGAAGCTGGAGACATGACTTTTATTGGTGTGACTTTGTTTTACTTCTGTGTGGTATTATATCAGATAATTTTCAACTTCTTCCTTTTTCAGAAACACCAGTCATTTGACTTCTAATAAAAATTTGACTGGTACATGGGAAGAGTTAAATATTAATCAAGTTTTTAAAAGAACTGAATGGGGGATGGTGTGTGTGCAGTTTATTATGCAATTAATCTCAGTCATTTGCTTAATTAGAGAGCTATTGAGTAACTTTGTTCTAAATTCTTGGAAAGTGGTATTCTTTGGAACCACTGGAAGTCAAGGATCAAAAATAGAAGAGGCTCCTGTCAGCCTGAAAAAAATAGAATTCTTCAAATGTAATAAAATTATGCTCTCAGCTACTAGGATAAGGTTTGAAATCACTCTCCTCAAAGGCTGAAATGTTAGTGTGAATTTATCTTAAGGAATTAGATATCAAAAATGCTTTTATGGTACCATTTGCTCTCCTCAGGTAAAGGATGGGCTTAACAAGAAGCCAGACAAAGGAGAAAATGGAATCAGGTATGAATATTTCTTTAAAATTCAAATTATATTACTTTCTGATAGAAGTGATGTGTGCCCGTAGTAAATCCAGCTGAAACAAGGCTATAAACAAAGAGTATGGGGTCTACCCTAAGAATGTAAGGCTGGTGCAATACTTTTTTTAAAAAAATTAATTCATATAATCCATCATCTAAATAAAGAGGAAAATACACATACCTTATCAACTGATGCAGAAAAAGCATTCAGCATCCATTTATGATGAAACCTCTAAGCTAATTAGGTGTAGAAAAGAGCTTCTTTTCCCTTAAGAAGGACACCTACGGAAAACTTCCCCAGCGAAAGCCTAAATGCTGACGCCTAAGATCGGGAACAAGGACATAGTACTCTCCCCATTTCTGTTGCACATTTTTCTGCATGCGAGAGCACTGAAGCAACAGAAAGACACAAAATCATGTAGACTGGAAAGGAAGAAATAAAGCTGTGCCTACTCGCATGTGACAGCTGTCTACATAAAAAGTATTCAGTGCTTTACCCAAATCAAGGTCACAGGGTACAAGGCCAACAACAACCGAAAATCCATCCTGTCTCTTGGTATAAATAAACAATTGGATCCAGGCTAGGCCTATAATCCCAGCACTCCAGAGGCTGAGGCAGGAGGATCCCCACAAGTTCAAGGTCAGCCTGGGCTAAATTGTAAGTTCCTGCCAGCCTGAGCTACATAGGGAGACCCTGTCTCAAAAAAAAAAAAAAAAAAAAAGAGAAAGAAAAGAAAAAAAAAGAAAAAGTTGGAAATTGAAATTGTAATATTATACCATTTGCAATATCTCCCCCCAAAGTATGAAATGTGTAGCGTAAACTGAACAAAATGTATGGGATTTGAATACTAGAAACTACAAAATACTAATGAAAGAAACCAGTAAAGGCCAAATAAATGGAGTTATATGGTATGTTCATTGATTAGAAGGCTTGATACGGTACCATCTCTGTTCTCCCCAAATTGATCTATAGGTTTAGTATGGTTGTTATCATAATCATGGCATTATTTTTATAAATATAAATAAGACAATTATAAAATTTACATGGAAAGACAAAGGAAAAAAGCCAAAATATATTTTAAAAAGAATACAGTTGGAAGACTCATATTACTACCAATTGTAAGTCTGTGTAAAACTACAGTAAACAAGACAAAATGATATTGGCAAAAGAATAGAGCCATCCATCAAAGAGTTCAGAAATAAATCACACAAGTACAGTCAACTGTTCTTTGCCCAAAATGCAAAGTCAATTAAATAGATTGAAGAAAGTCTTCTCAAAATGGTATTGAAACATTTGGACAGTCACATGTAAAAATGAATTTAACCTAAACCTCATACCTGAGCTAGGCACAATGGCACATGCCTAGAATCCCAGCTCTTGGGGAGCTAAGGCAAAAGGATTGCAAGCTAAAGCCAGCCTGAGATAGTGGAAGTTCAAGGCTAGTCTGGACTATGTAGTAAGACTTTGTCTTTAAAAAAATTTAAATAAACCTGTTATCTTACCCAAAATTCTTGCTGAAAATTGTGTAAAAATTCTTACATATCCTATAGGCCAATTAACTCAAAATTGATTAAAGATCTACATAAAACATGTTAAACCTTAAAATTTATATAAGAAGCACTCAGAAGTCCTTGTAACATTCAGTTCTTAGGACACCAAAAGCACAATCCATAGGAGAAAACCTTGATAAATTAGACTTCACTGTAACTAGAAATGTTCTGTCAACTACTACTCTTAGAAGAATAAAAAGATAAGCTACAAATTGGGAGAAAATTCTTGTAAACCACACATGTGACAACATGCATCCAGGAGGTAGAAAATACTCTCAAAATTCAGTAAGAAAATAGCCCAGTTTAAAAAATAAACCAAGGCGAGGCACAAAAATGGTGGAGTTGTTACTTACTTGGTCAATCTCCCTATATGGGATTATTGTGGACTGGATGTTTGTGCCCCCCTTCGTATGGTAAAGCCCTACTCCAGTGTGATGGCGTGTGGAGGTGGGGCCTTTGGGAGATAGCTGGAGTTAGAGAAGGTCATGAGGGTGGGGCCACATGATAGGATCAGTGCCCTCACAAGAAGAGAGATCCAACAAACTGGAGCACCAAGATGGCAGAGTGGTAAGCAGCAGAGAAAGAGCCTCTCCGAAAGTCACTGTCAGATACTGGAATATAGCAACATGAGGAAGACAAGAAGGAGGGAAATGAGCCCCCTGAACTGGGGAAGGATCTGAAGCATAAATTGAAGTCCATAGAGAGAGTGAAGCAAGAAGCTTCAACGAAGAAGGAGGTGGCAGGCAGCACCTTCTCGCTGAGACAGGACTCATTGCTTGAGAGGAGTGGTTCAAACTGCAGACACACAGTGCCAGCAGTCACGCAGACGCAGCAGTGGAGGGGAGCAGCGGACATGAAGAACTGCGCTAGCTAGCAGTGAGTGCTAAGGGTTTAGTCATCCTGCATAGGGGAGAGCGATTGACCAGGAGCCATCTTGGGGAGGGGCCAGCTAGCTCAGAACTCAGAGCAGGCTCCACACAGCATCTCTCAGCTGGGCTCAGACCCATGGAAGGTGTGCTGACAGCTGCAGGGTGAATGAGTTGGTTTTGGCCACAAGGTGCAGGCTTGCTGAGATTATCCACTACCCCAGCAAAAAGCTACTGCTGACTTGCTGGGATAAATCAGTGTGGATCGGAACTCTGTGTCCACACGTTGTCTACCAGTGACAACAGAGACAAATCCAGTAGTGGACTATTTTTTTCTTTCTCTCTTGTTTGTTTTTTGTTGTTGTTGTTGTTGTGTTTTGGGTTTTGTTTTATGTTTTTTATTCTTGTTTTTTTCTCCTTCCTTGTTAGATCTTGTTTTTATATGAGTGTGAAGGTGGTTTCTAGCCTCTTTGTGGTTTTTGTTCTGTTCTGTTCTTCTCTTTTCTCTCCCTTCTCTCTTCCCCTCCAGTCTTCTGCACCAGTTTCCCAAAGTTAGTGTGATCCCCCTTTGTTCTCCAGCCTTACTTCTAATCTGTTTCTCTTCTTCTACTTCTCTATTTTCTTCCTAATTCATTTGAAATTTTAGCTCCTGAGGGTAAAATTGACATATTAAGGACTTATATATTACATATAATTTTCTAGTCTGTTTTAAATTTTCTTATATATCACTTCTCAGCCTTTTGATCTCGGCTAAGACCAAGTTAAATTTTCTTACATAACTACAAATCTAGTTCATACAGTTAAATGTAGCAAATTAATGGTTATCTCAGTTTGTCATTTTCTAGGCTGTGATTGTTGCTACTGTTATTACTGATGGTACCACTGTAGCCAAAAGTCACATAATTGTTCCAAACAGCTATTCTTCCTCATAGTCCAAGACTGAGATTGACTAAGGATCATAGAAAATACTGTGGCACAGTGCCAAAGAAACAGGGGCTGAGTCAAGCAGGCAGCAAGTTCTCATGCCCAACAAATTGAAAATGTAAGATATTGCAAAAGACTCCAACCCAAAAACAAGTTACACCTTGAAGATATCTCAGAGAAGTAGTCATTTCCTAAGGGTTCTAAATACTAGCAATAAAGCAACTCACCATAGGCTATTTACAAGCATCACCCCAGGAATAAAAACTAAAAATAGAAAAGAAAATGAGAAGATACTTAAACAAGATGCAACTCCAGACATCCAGTTCACCAAAGCCAATCCTGGGGGCACAATGAGGTGGGACAATCCCAAAGCCACCCACCTGACTCTCTGAAGTGGTAACAGCAAAGCAATTGAATAAAGCTCTAGAAAAAAATCTAATCAGAAATAATTTCTCAGATAACTGCAGAGATGGTGTTGACAATGAAAACTATGCTTAGTGACTATAGAGCAGATAGAGACAAAAAAATAGAGGAGCTTAAGAAAATGATGGAAATCATGAATGCCTAACACAGGAAAGAAATGGAATCCATAAGGCAGATTCAAGCAGATATCCAGGAGAATAAAAATTCCATTGAAAGTATCCACAGCAGATTAAGCCAATGTGAGGACAGGATCTCAGACATAGAAGACAGGCTTGTGGTTACCAATCATGAAAAGAAAGATTCCTTAAAAGTAGCAAGAGACCATGAGAAGTCAATCCAGCAGCTGCTAGATGAGGCAAAGAAGAATAACTTAAGATTGATTGGATTAATGAAAAAGCAGGAGATAGCACAAATGATATAAAAAAAAAAAAGTGTTCACTGATGTCATGGCAGAAAATTTCCCTGGTAGGGAAAGATAATTTGATATACAGGTAAGTGAGGCATATAGAAATCCAGTTAGCCATAATTTAAAAATCTATAGCCAGGCATATCATAGTCAAGATTCCAGAAATTCAACACAAGAATAGAATCTTAAAAGCTGTTAGGGAAAAGAAGTAAATCACCTGTAAAGGAAAGGCCATCGGAATCACAGCTGACTTCTCAGCACAAACCCTCAAGTCAAGGAAAGCTTGGGGTGAAGTATTTCAAGTTCTAAAGGAAAACAATCTTCAACCCAGACTGACATACACTCCAAAACTATCTTTCAAAGTTAATGGAGAAATAAGAGACTTCCATGACAAAGAACATCTGAGGAAATTTATGGCCATGAAACAAGCACTCCAAAACGTTATGAAAGACACTCTAGGAAGAGATAACAAGGGCTACAACTCCTTGAATCCCAGCAGAAGGAATCCACCAGGCAAGGCAAATAATTAAACAGAGAGATGGGAAAAAAGGGTGGAGCCAACAACAGGAAAATAATACGAGAAGGATAAGTCAATATATATCAGTTATAACCATCAATGCCAATGGTCTCAATTCACCAATCACGACAGACTTGCAAAATGGATCAAGAAGCAAGATTCAACAATATGCTGCATGCAAGAAACACACTGAGTTCAAAAAGAACTTCATAGATTGAAATTCAAAGGATGGAAAACAATACTACATGCAACAGGAACCCAGAAAAAAGCAGAGGTAACTATTCTATTTGCAGACA